AACACCCTTAGCGAAGGGCCTACGAAGTTTAAGAGGTACCAGCATTTGTGCCCCCGGCGGCACACGCACTGTTTTTACGACGAACGCCGGTACCGTCGCGAACGCCGTCCGAGTCGCTACAGGGGAAGGCAGGAACGCCATACGTCGCCCCGACGGAAGCTCAATGCATCCTTGGTCGATCAAAATACGAATTGGCATCCTGCCCAAGAAGTCCGTCCCCAGCAGGCACGGAACTGCCAGTGAGGAGGAGACAAAAATCGGCCCCGACAATTTGATGTCCCCGATAGAAATTTGCGCTCGAATCTGTCCCACGATGCCGAGAGAGCCCCCGTTAGCGGCATAGAAAGGGACATTAACCGGTAGCAAAGGACGGCTCTGCACCGGTAGAATATTGTAAATTAGTTCCGAAATAATTGTCGCCGATGCCCCTGTATCGACTATGATGCGTACCTCCACCCCATCAATGTAACCGACCACGGCCGACGATCCCGACGCCGCGGCCACCACGCGATGGGCCAACACGGACCACCGCTCGGGCTCGATTTGAGTCCCCGCAGTGATCCGCGCCGGTCCATCGCAGCGCCCCACCGGCCCCCCGTTCGTTACGGTGCGAGAGTGTGCGACAGGTGGGTGCGTTGGCCAAACATGTGAGGTGCCGCGACTCGCCGGATCATGGTGCTGGAGCTTGGGAGGAGGAAGAGGAGGGCCGGCGTCCTGTCGAGGCGTCGTCCCCCGCTGTCGAGGAGAACGGCACCCCGAGGCGACATGGCCCCGGATGCCGCAGTTGAAGCACCGCGGGAGCGCCGATGGAGACGATGGACGGTCGAAACGCCTCGGCCCGTCCCGACCCGGCCGCGCCCCCGTCGTCTGTTGCCGTCGATGGTCGACGGCATAAAGTTCTTCTGACGGAAGGGTGGCTGCAGCCACCGCACGCCCAGCCGATGCCCTGTTTGCCTTTCGCCGCTGCTGCAGAAGGTTGGCGTGGAGGAGTCGCGCAGCCTGGAGGGAGGTCATTTCTGCATCCCCTTGTGCGATGACGACGATGTCGAGGTCGTCCGCCAAGAGGAGGATCTTCTCCGCGACCATTGCAGTCCACGCCGTCGTCGTCCATGCGGGGAAAGGCTGTTTTTGCCAGCGCCAGAAGACTTGTCCGCAAAGCCAGAGGCGACTCTTTTTCACCCCGCCTGCGATCGTAGAACTGCTGACGGCATTCGGCTGAAGGTCCATAGACCCCGGCCAGCAGCTGTAGCGCCATTGGTAGTGTAGCCCGCTTCTCTTTTGGCGCCGACGTGAGTGCGGCGAGCGCGTCCCCATCGAGGAGCGCCGGCAGCGCGCAAAGGGCCTCCTCGTCGGACCACCGCGCCATCTCCTGATGGGCGAGGAAGCGTCGCCGGAAGCCGCCCCAGTCACCCTCCGCACCGATGAATTCCTTCAGCGGGGGCAGTCTTTGGTGAAGCGCAGCGGTCGATGTGGACTCCCGCAGGTTGCTTTCACCTCCCCTTGGCGGTGCCTCGGCGCGACTGGCCGATGGCATCGCCTGTCGCGGCAGCGATGACGCATCCTTCGGCTGCGATGACGCTGCAGCCCCGGCGACGGCGATGTCGGAGCCGATGTCTAAGCTGGCCACGCCCCGAACAGCCGCGGCGTCCATTGCGGGAAATTCAAATTTTGAAGTCGCTGAAATGGCGGGAAAGTGCTCCGGCCGCCGGTTCTCCTCGCCCTGCGGTGGACCACCAACCCCCAACCGCGTAATGCCTTCCAGTGTGGCGGCAGCGGCATAAAGTAGCTCCGCCAGCCGTTCGTGAGCCAGTCGTAGTGCATCTGGCTGCGGCCCCTCTCCATGCTGACGTCCCGGTGAGAAGGCGCCAGGCTCCGGCTGCACCCCATCTTGTTGCTCTGTCTCGGGCTCGGCGATCTCCGCGGCGTCCTCCTCTTGTGGTACCCTGGTCCGAGCTGTATGGCGCGTTTCCATTTTTACCACTTCTGACGCCAGATGAAGTACCCGTCGAGGACGCTTGACAACGGAGTTGAGGCACACGTATATTTATTTAACAAGTTGCCAGTACAGGACAGCCCTAGAGGGGGTAGCGGCCCCCTCACCCGTATAACTCAGGGAATACCCCTAGCTATCCATAGCCTATCCCCTGAGTCCTCCACTAAGAGCTAGGGGAGGCTGTCTGGCCCGACACTGGTAATCGGGCTCGGTACCCGGAGTCCCAGAGCACTGGCTCTGGTTCACGGGACCACGCCACTGGCTCGAGCCTGATCCCGTGGGGCCCTGATAAGGGCGGCGATCAGGGGGAGTCCAGGGCTCTAGCTACGACGTCTTCCGACTTCTTAGCTTAACTATAACATAACTGACTAAGCCCATATAACGACCCCTTTTTATACCCAACCCTCCTTGAGGGGTGGGGCCCCGGGGGATCGTAACGCCGAACCAGCCCCCCCCCAGGGTGTCTGGCTCGGACGTCGCAGAGGGCATCTCCCTGTGCACACACGTAGCTCCGCCCACTGTGTTTCTTTCCCATAGGCTGCCATGCATAACGGCCCTCTCTCCAACATCCCTACACTATTAACATTCCCTCCCTTTGTTCATGCTACCCCCTGCCCCCTCCCTTTGGTGCTGCTGATCCTGCATAATGCATTGGCATAATATGATTTTGAAACCCCCCCGCCCACCTCCTACGCATTTTCCATGAATATGCTAAATTCCTCTTGATATGCACATTATTTTGTTAAGGTGCTCTTCTTCCACCTCCAACTCAGCTTATATATAAGCTCCTAGCTTGGCAGTTTCTCATTCTTCACCTGAAGACGGCTGCTTGTGTTGTAGCCGAAACGTCGTGAAAATTATTTTATTATGTTTTATTTTTATTATTTTATTACTTCCCATCTACGTGACTTTACCGAAAAAACCAAGAAGATGAATCCCTGTAGTCACGAAAGCTTTAAATCTAAAAATGTTGAATTTCACTAAATTGTGAATTAAACTACTTTAAAGTTTAAAGATAGGAAAACGGAATAGCGCTGGCTCACCAGGGGGCTTACAACGCGGTACCCGGCTACATTTTTCTAACGAATACCCCACGGTTCGCGAGCCAAATCCTTCGCAATTTGCGTGTACACAGACGGACAGACGGACGGACAGACAAGAAATGCCTTTTATAGGTTAGAAAGATAGTTTGTATGTCTCTGCGTATGTGTCTTCATAGGTTTGGAGTAAGTGGCTGCTATAGAGAAGCAGAATCTTTATTTCGACTGCAGGAGGAATATGATGAGTTATGAAGCTCATTTTCACAGTTGTCCAGCATGGGTGGATCAGCAAGTTCCATTTCCACAAGATGATAAGCCACTTCGTTGAGCTATCATTCGTGGTCAAGTCGCTTCTGCAAAATAGCTGTATAGCTCAGTGTGCCTCACCTGTTGAGATACAAATAGTTGTTTAGGTGCTCGCTAAGAGCACTTGCCCCTAAAGTATATTAAGGCTATGGGGGGGGGGGGCGTCTTTGTATTGGTGAATGTGTGGCTGATAGGATGTGTAAATATATACCTGTGTTTGTTTAACACGTAGACTTTCGCGACCCATATCATCCATAATATTGTTTTTTAAATATATTATGAGTAAAAGAGACTTAAAGAACACCAAATAAATATTAAATACTCCAAAATACAACTGTCTGCAGTGCGAGAAGACGCTTGCCAATAAGGACACTCAATTGATTTTTATAATGTTTAAGTTCTGTGCAAAATAGTTACTACTGGCCAATACTAATTAGATAATCTATCGAATTTGAGATAAATACAAATTAATTAACTGTTTGGATAGCTACAGGCTTAGTATTGCTTGGAAGCAAATTATCAAATAATACTTTGTTTGAATGCATGACTATAAAAGTCTCCATACATCAATGGGGATTATACGTGTACGCAGATAATGATAGGTACAGTAAAACCTTGGATTGCGAGCATAATTCGTTCCGGAAACGTGTTTGTAATCCAAAGCACTCGTATATCAAAGCACTCCTATATCAGTTGTGATCACGTGACGCTCGGCAGACAAAGCGTATACGTACTATTCGTATTGCAAGACCTCGCTCGTTTATCAAATTAATATTTATTTAAAAAAAATTGTTCGTCTTGCAAAACACTCGCAGACCAAGTTACTCGCAATCCAAGGTTTTACTGTATTACTATTTTATTGCACGCGAACGACAGGAGGTACAAGAACAATGTGCATGCATAATGTGATTGCATAATGCAAGTTGATTACCATATGATGTCATGTATGTGCATTCATTAACTCCCCCCCTTTGTACAAGAGGGGCTCACAAGTGACGTTATCACATCTATCCCTCAATTTAACGAACGAAACAGGATTTCTCCACAAATTTGGCTGTCGCCTGATGAAGCTAGTTGCAATTATTGATGAAACGTCGTACTCAGATTGTAAATGTTGTGGATTTGCTGTGTGCTGTACTAGTAACGAATTGGAATGTTCTGTTTACGTGAGAAACCTTACTAATTGGCTGTGTCGAGTGTTGGCGGGTTTAATGACACATTTATAGTCATGCGATCAAACCCAAAAAAACCTCTATAATGCCTGTGTGTTTTATATTTGGAACAGACGTAGGCAGGAGACATTGTCTGTGTGTTTACCTATATATATATATATAAGAAGGTTCGTTCTTTTAAAATTCCCTACAGAAATCAACAAGCGAGCGACCTTCCACTGCAGACTAAACTGCCAGGACGTTGGAACGCGCCGGGGAACGAGCGCTCGGTGAACCAATTAAGACTGCAGTTTATATTTTTAAAAAAACACACACACACACGCATCTTTTTTGGCCGCACGGGGAGTCGTTACATCCATGAAAACCGCCGAGATGCAGAAGGGGTAATTAAACATCGTTGGCCACACCCATTAGATGACGTGACCACGTGGTGCTCTGCGGTGTATAAAAATCTTCCCTCCGTCGGCACGCCGCAACTTCCGTCGCTATCAAGACACCTGGCGCCGAGGTTAGATTCCAACACATGCGGGGACTGGCCACCTTTATTTCTACCACGGCGAAGAGCCATTTGACAAACTCCGTAACCCGCAGGTACGAACGCTTCCAATAATATAACAATACGCATTTACTTACAATGACAGCATGCAGGCGGGATGCAGCATTGTCGCACAGTGCTCAGTGCAATGGCACGCACGTAGGCACGGTGGTACTTTGTTAATTTTAGCGGTGCTCGCTCCAGTGTGCGAGCACTTTTGAGCCAAGTGGAGCATTTGCGGGTTTTTTTTTTGTAAAATGAAAACCAACATAGCGTATGAATCTGAAAACCAGGAATGGTTTAAATAAAAAAATAATAATCAATTGTAAATTGTTTTGCGAAAACTTTCACGATAATCGTTCACGCCAAAAAAACGAAGTAAACCCCAATCTAAATTGCCGCTTCAACAGGCAGAGGCTATTCTTGGAAAGTGCTGACCAGAAAGAGATAGAGAGAGGTATCCGCTTTATTCAGGGTGTAACACTGCCGCTGCGTTCGCGTGCGATCGCTCGACGTCACGGCAGAGGCGTCGCGCCACTCAAAGTGGAACCGAAAACCGGCGGTTTTATGCTCGGATCGTCATCTTTAGGGTTGCCGAGCGCAGCCCAAAAGCCCGACATACCAAGCGGCCAGCAACAGATAACGCACGAATGGATTTTTTTTTTCTACGTAAGACAATTTTTTTAGTTATTTTGGAGACTTGGGGGGGGGGGGAGGGGTAAGAAACAATGATGGGGAGGAGGGAATTACAAAGCGGGAGCTGTGCGAGGTAAGAAAGAGAAGGGAGGTGGCCTGCAGTGTGGTGGTTGAACACAACAGCTAATGTGGTTGTATCTCATTTCAATGTATTATTTGCAGTATTTTTTACAGAATTCATAAATGTTCAATTGAGACATAACTGCTATACTAACCAAGACCTTGCAATTTGTGCCCATAAATGTCACTCCCACGCAGGCCTTAGGGGATGACCGTATACCATTTGTAGGACTTGCGCGTGATGGAAGGCAACGACTCCTATGTCATCTTGGGGACACTGGAAGCTCCCTACAACGTTCGCGTGCTCGCATTCACCCTGTGCCTGACCGTCTTTGTCGCCTCGCTGCTCGCCAACCTCCTGGTGCTGCTCTCGGTGGTCGTGCGCCCACAGCTGCACAAGCCCGTGTACGCCTTCATGTCCAACCTCATTATCGCCGACATCATTGGCTGCACGGGCAGCTTGCCCCAGCAGCTCTACATATTTCTGACGAGGGACACGCGCATCCCGCGCTCTTGCTGCATCGCGCAGATGTTTTCCATGAACCTGTTCGTCGGCATCGAGTGTTTCGCCCTCGCCTCGATGTCCGTCGACCGCTACATCGCCATCTGCCACCCACTTCGCTACCACGCCATCGTCACCGGCAAACGGACGCTGATGGCCATCGCTGCCATCTGGGGCTTCGTGGGGGCCTGTGCTTGTGCCCCTTACCATTCTCGTCAACGCGCTAAAGCTGAGAGACGGCGACAGGCAGATACAGGGCGTGATATGCGATTACATGGGGTTCGTCCGGCTGTCGCAGGGCGACACGCAGCTCCAGGCGGTCTACAGCACGGCGATGGTCGTGGTGCTCTTCGTGGTGCCGCTGTTGCTGATCGCGTACACGTACGCGAGGGTTATCAGTCGAGTGCGTGAGGACGCAGCGGAGCGATTTCAAGGCGAAAGCGGTGAACACCTTTCTCACGCACTTCTTCATGCTCGCCGTTTTCTTCGTCGCGATCTTCCTCTCGGTCCTCGTGTCGCGCGTGGTCAAGGACCTGCAGAGCGTCCAAGCGAGGAACATGCGCTACGCCTCCGGCTTCTCCACCTTCTTCATCCCCATGGCCAACGTCAGCATCTACGTGTTCAGAACGAAGGAGCTGAGGAAGGAGATGACGCATTGGCTCCGTGCGATTATTCCGAGCAATTTGTGCGGAGCGAAGGTCCACAAGGTATCGGTTTTGAACGCTTCTTCCTGAACGGTCAGGTGCGTAGGCACGCAGCGCAGAGCAACGTCCTAAAGCAGGGTAAAATGTCGCTCACGTAGAAGCTTTAGTAAAAGTGATGCTCTGCTCAAATGAGCATTGAGGCAGTGCTAATCTCATGTTTACACCACCTGCACCATCATCATTGACTCTGAACCTAGGGCCAGTTTGTCCAGGTCAGCTTCCCTGTGCCTCTCACTCCGCCTCTGGCTACCAGAGTCACACGGGCGCATCCAATCTACCAGCGACACAGAACAGATTGAGTGACATATTAAGCCCTGCTCATGACGAAGTTAAATGTATTGCGTCGTCGGCGAATGTTTGTGGAACAGCTAATCAGCCTCTCTGCCTGGTCATTTAAATATAAGGAGCATTTTTTGGAAAAATATTGAGTTCTGTTTTTATTTGTGTTTGGGCACCACTTATATATAATATAATATTTTCATTAGCGTACGTTTTTACCGAATTTAATTTGATTTTAGAATAATGTTTTATCATTGTACGTATGTTGAACTTTTTTCGCACCATACATTGCCAACCGTGCAAATCGGAGGCATCAGTTGTTATCCACTGCTGGATGATGGTCTTTTAATGCTGATGCCTTGAGGTGCCTGGGTGGCTGTGGTCAGAGCGTGAAGCTAAGCAAAGTGCCTCTGAGATTCAAGGGTTAAGAATTCAGGCAGCCGCTTGTGATGAAATGGGATTTTCAAGCGTAGCGGTCTCAGCCTAGTATGCCAATGTCTACACGAGGAGCAGACTTCACATTCAATTTGGTTCCTGCACTGAATGTGGACAAACATTCCAACTCAGAAAATTACAAACGTAAATTTGAATGTCAAGTGACCAACAGTACTACTCTCAGTGGCAGAGTGGGTGGAAAGTAACCTCCTGTGCATTTGTACAATTACATGCTCACCGCTGCTGCTGCAGGCATGGGGCTTCCTCTGTCCGTGTTGAGCCTGGTGAACTGCTATATTTGCAACAAATGTCTGGCCAGCATGCGTGATTTCGTGCTGTTTTAAATTCCAATTTTAAACGTCAAAAAATGTTACTGATGTATTCACGTTTATTCACACTTTTTCAGGTCCACGCAGGAATGATGAGCGATTTCTATTTTTTCTCCATTAGTTCTACCGAAACAGAAATATATTGCTCTGTTCAATTTGCTGGAAGGCATGGAATGGATGGATGCCGGTTCACACTGAAAACGGCTGCCAATCTAAGGTTGGACAAAGGGTGGCACATCTGAGCCGAGCCAACGCAGGGGGTCCTCGTGACATGGTTGCGTTTCCACTGGCTATTTCCCATGCGGAGCTGGATACAATCCGTACACGGCCTCTGGCACTGAGCCCCGCGGAGTTACGGCCATTGTTCAACGTGCACCAATTTATAACGCACGCGATATTCCGCGGACTTCAATGACCGTAACTCCGCGGGGCTCAGTGCCACTCGAAAGCCAGGCGAAAGAGGTGGGCCATCGTGTCGATTGAATGCTGCGAGGTAAGTGCCGTGTGATTGCGTTCCAGTCAGAACGGGGGCGACCGTGGAGAAACGACGCCTGGTAGGGAAGTTCCTGGTCCTTTTAGTATGTAGAGGAGATTGCGAATTGCGTGCGGAGCATTATACCATGAGCTTGTTTATATTTTATCATTAGACCTCCTTTGCCAGAAACAAAAACTATGATAATAGGGGTTTCCCCTTTTTTTCTGGCAACAAACTGAAACCTTTTTACAAGGATTCATGTCTGCATTAACCACAATACTTGCAGTCAAAATTTAAACAAAAAACATACTATGATAATATATGCATTGTCCTTGAAACTGATTGGTCCACACTAAGGGACGGCTTTCTTTTGAGGCTTGTTTGCATGAATCCTTGCAAAAAGGTTTCAGTTTTGTTGCCAGAAAAAAGGGGAAAACCCTATTATTCTTGTTTATATTGTTGATTTGACATAGGGGGTGCCTAGGCCAGTTATAATGTCACTCATCACTGTTAGCAGTGGCCAGAAATCTATATCTGGTCGCCGTGTTATGATCACATTGCGCTTATACTACCACTCGATCCATATGCATACATGTCAACCTCTTATCAGTGCTTACCTCATTACAATTATGAACCTCAACGTTCATCCTACAAAAGTCCCATCACAACGGAGAAAATCAAAAACATTTTTTTGCCCGTATTGAAACGGCTGTACGCCGTCTGAACTTGAAAATCAATATCCCTGCAGAAGAATACGGGGTAAACCGTACGGGTTGACGATGGTTGGGTATGCGACAATGTGTGGTGATTACGTTCGTGAATATATCGCGCGCATGTGCGTGGCGCGCCCTCGAACGACACCGCGCCTCGACTTGCACGCGGCGCGTGGACACCGCCGATGTCGCGATTTGCCGAGGGCGTTCGGGCAGCACTTGGGAAGTCGTCGCCCCCCTTTTTCCTGTTCGCGATTTGTCTCGGGAAGGGAGGGTGGATCGGCGCGGTGACTTTAAACCCAGTGCCTTTCCAGCGGGGATGCGCAGGGGACAGCGAATTGACTCAACAGCTGAGAGGGAGCGGTTTAAGGAGGAGGAGGTGGGCGAGCGCTTGCGTCTTGCGAGGCTGCGTGATCACGTTGCTGGGCGCTGTTGGTGGTTGTGGCAATAAACGGACGCCGTTGCGGCTCATGAACATCAACAACACCATCACCGCCGTCGTCTTCTTCCTGAGTGCGATGGCGGGCGCGTGGGAGAGTGGAGGCGCGGGCGCGCTGCAAATTGGTCAAATAAATTGACGGGAGAGTTGAAACAAAGAATACACCGCGGAAGAGTTACTCGTGAAGTGTGACAACGCGAGGTCACGCTGACGAACCCGCCGCCCTCTCAGTCGCTGAAGATCAATGGGCCAGAAGCGCGAGACAAATTGGTCACACATTGCACATACACACGTGTACACACATACACACGTGTACACACATACACACGTGCACACACATACACACGTGTACACACATACACACGTGTACACACATACACACGTGCACACACATACACACGTGTACACACACACGTTTATCTGCATATACGTATCTGCACTTAAGAGCTTAGTGTCTTACATACATAACCAGGTGAACATAACAAGAACGCAGCCTAGAGGTGAATAGCCACCACACTGAAGTTTCGCGCAGTCGCCACTCGACTTGCACGGTTGGTAACCCACCCCACAAGGCAAACCGCTGTCGATCTTCCACTCCTTTAATCAACCACAGAGGGATCGTGATCCATTTATTTGGGGGAACACTAAAACATCGCCCGCGCTCCACACATTAATACTCAACCTGCCCGTGTAATCATACACCTTGGGGCGGGGGGCATAGAAACCATCACCAAATCGGATGGGCACCACCATCCCTCGCTTGTGCCCTGAAACAGCTGCACCCCCCGCCCCTGCTCTGTCACTCCCCCGGAGCATCGCCTGTGAGCGACTCGCCCCAGGGGCCTCCTTGTGCCTGAGGTTGCCCCTGGGGCCGCGAGGCCGCGCAGCAAGCCGGGGGAGCGCGCGCCCTCAGCAGTGCGTCGCGCGTGGCCGTGATAGGGGGGAGGGGCACGGGGTTTTGAGGGAGGGGCGTGAGATTTGGGGGGAGGGGCACGGGGTTATGGGAGGAGGGGGGCGAGGTTGGGGGGGGGACGGCAATTACCTGTACCCTACCCGATACCCGGCTACCCGTACCCGGCCGCACCAGGGTCACAAACGGCCAGTGGCGGCTCCTGCAAAATCTCTCAGGGGGGGCAAATGTCTGAATGATTTATAAGGATAAGGTCCACCCATGCAATGGATAAATTAACAGCTTAAGCATGTAAAGGCAACTACACTTCTTTAATATTAATGAAAAATAAAGTGACTCTTACAATACATCTTGTTTGTTTCTATACTCACTATTAATAAAATCCACTCAAGTTTCTTTTATTAAAGATTCCACTAGGTGGCGACAAATTATATTGTTGGATGAAACGTGCTTACGTATGATGACGTAAGCACGTTAGGGCGAGCCCTCCCGGAAGCCATAGAGAATGCATTGCAGCGCCCCCCGGTCGAAAAAAAACATCTTTGAATGTAAGTCTATGGGGCCACTCGGGGCGATTCTCAGCCAGAGTGAAATCGCCCAAAAAGAGGCGGTACTCCACAGAACGTGACATGACGCTGATTGGACTATATCCAGAGGCACAGTGACGGCTAGCATGACTCTGTGGTTGAATGACATTGGTGATGCCCTAATGAAGAAACCGCCCCTGCAAACGGCTACCCTTACCCGTACCCGGCCGGGTACGGGTACGGGTAAGGAATCAAAACCCGTTTGTGACCTCTGGGGGACAGGCACGAAGTTTTGGGGGGAAGGGCGCAAGGTCAGGGGTGCAAAGTTCAGGAGCAGGGGAGCGTGGTTATGGAAAAAGGTATGGAGATGTGGGGTGCTGTGTTGCTGTGTGTGTGGTGCAGTGTATGGGTGTGGCACATGGTGCAGTGTGCGGGTAAGAGCAGTGGAGTTTATCTGAGAGGGGGGGGGGGTGAGGCTGGGGTGGGTGTTCGTGGGGGTGGGCGTACAAATGGGGGTGTACATGTCTGTTTGTGTGCGTATGCAACAAGTTCAGAATGTGCGTGGGTCTGGTAACCCCTTCACGTGTAACACGAACTTTTACCAGTAACCACGATGAAAACACCTATTTCAGCTTGTGCTGGAGTCTCTGGGGAAGACAGAATGTTGAGGCTGCTGGCTCCCGATTCCTCTCCCCCTTCCTGCTCCTCTTCTTCTTCCATCGCTGCTGCTGTTTCCACCCTGCGAAACACAACTCCTGGCTGGCCCTGGGCCACCTCGGGTCATTCACACCCACTGTCTTCGTGCATTCCCTCAAACATTAGTAGGAGACTCCCTTGGCACACCACAGCCCTCACACGTATACGCACCGCCACTCAAACGCGACGTCTCCGCTCTCACAACCCCGCGCACCAATCACTCACGCTGAACGGGGGGGGGGGGGGGAGGGGGTCAGAGGTCGGAGGGCAGTGACGTCACGCGTACACGTACGGCCGCCGTGGGTGGATAATAGCGCTCGTTTAAAGGGCCGTGGGGGCGGGTGTTCGCGGTGAGTGTGAGCCCGCACACAGCATGGGTGTCCGCAGCCCCAGAACGAAGCATACACCCGTGGAGCACCGAACACACACGTTACGGCGATCGTACCCACACGCCACCAAGCATTTTCAACACTCCCCGTGGGTACACGCTAAACAACAGCCGTATGAATAATCCCACATGTACCCTTGCGAGTCTGCCGTTGCTCACCGTGGGCACATACTAAACAGTTAACGCAGCGTAAGCGTAATGATAACCGAATAGAGGGTAACGTCCACGCGTTAACCTATCGTTCACATCTATGCCCACACATGCAGCGCGGAGGTCAGGGGCCACAGGACGAGACGCGCCCTCGCGGAGCCCGGCGGGTGCAGCGTTTCTTCCACCGGGACGTTGTGCACCCAGCCACACGTTACAGTGAGCGCACACACACCACCATGCACTTCCCTCACACTCGTAGAAATCACACGAGGTTGTGATCAATTACTAACGATTTATTCTCAGCGTGTCTGCGAATCACTCTCGCCAAATCAGTCGGAATCAGCAGGGCAGGGCTAATCTATCTCCCGGCCGTCTAAACCCGATCTACCTCGCCTACCGGAAATTAACCTCCTTCCAATTTTACCCTAAATTCCAACTCTCCCTCACGTACTCACGGTTCAGCTCGGATGTATGGGAAGCCGTGGAGAGGCAAGGTTGCACGAAGTCCTCCTGGGGCCTGGCTGCGCTGAGACACGTCTCACGGACGTTCTAGTGGCCGGCTAGGTGACTACTCCAATCTCCACTCCAGCAGAAGAGAGCCTCTTGCCCTTTTCTATCATTCTTTTTTCGTTACCTACATCAAAGGGAGTGCGGAGCCCGATCCGCCGGCCAATCAGAGCGCTGGGTTTTCCGGCCAATTAGATCGCTCGCCTGTACCCCTGCTCCACTCGGACCATTGATTTCAGCGACGTCCGCATCTGAGTTTGCCGCTAAGCGCCCGACCAATCAGAGGGGCGGCCCTGTTTTCCCACCGTTTGTGGCTCCGCCCCCTACCTGCCTGCCGACCTGGGTGTGTTTTTATATCCGCGGTAGCTGCGTAGCCTCGTCGTGATCGTGCATTTCCATGTTAATTCACGGCGCCGCAGAGTAATTCAGCCTGAGGAAAGCCTCAGTCAATTCCCTGGCCTCAGGGAAAACCGTGGAGTGTGTTCTCCCTACAGGGGGGCTCCTGGGTGAAAACCTGTGGGCCAGGTGGCTTCCACGCGAGGCTCTATGTGGGGGTGAGTGTGTGTGTGTTTGTGCGGGGGGTTGGTGAGGGGGAAGCCACGTCAGCCCTGTCGCTTGGTGGTAGTGGGGTCGTAGGTGGGGCGCCCGCAGAGCGGCTTTGTGGCTGTGGCATTACAAGACGTCTATGACGATCCGAATGCTCACGACAGAGGAGAGGCTTCCATTCCTCTGTCGGGAGCTGGACCGGTACCGCTTCCAGATCCGGTGGTCTAGTCCTGACTCCAGTCACCATGAGCGGTAGACAGTTCTCCACTCAGCGTCGGAAACTGCCAGACAACAGGGAGTGGGACTTATTATTACACACTTTTATTTAACTCACTCTGTTGTTAACTACACTATGGGAACCTCTTTTGCCAGTAAAAAATATGATAATTGTTTTTTTACCCTTCTATCTGGCAACAAAACTGACACCTTTTTACAAGGAGTCATGTTTGCATAGACCGCAATACCTGCAGTGATAATACAAACAAAGGACATAACTCTGATAATGTGCACTGTCCTTGAAGTTGATTGGTCCACACCCGAGACAGCTTTCCTTAGAGCCTAGTCTCACATGGGTTGGACCAGATGACTGCAGGTATTGCGGTCTATGCAAACATGACTCCTTGTAAAAAGGTGTCAGTTTTGTTGCCAGATAGAAGGGTAAAAAAACAATTATCACTCTGTTGTTGTTGTCGTTGTTGTCGTTGTTGTATCCTCAAATCTTTTAACTCAATTATTACCCACTTCCCAATGTGGTATCGACTGCAAAATTGGTATACTTATGTCATACTGATGACAATACTATATTCTATCATAAAAAATTAAATAAAAACATATTTTAAAACATTATTTTTCATATGTTATTTTCGGCTTGGGTCTAATTGTCCACGGTCACCTGACGTTGGCTGTAATTCACCACGGTCCCTTACGTTATGACAAGCTTCGGGGCCACTTACTGGAGTCGTGGAGTTCTTCCATTACTAGTAAGGTACATTTCATTAAAGCGTGTTTTTAAAAACGTGTTTTTAAATATTACTTATTTTGAACAAAAGAATGAAGAGGTGTGGGAGCTTGGATGCGAGGTGTGGGAAGCTGTGAGCCCCAGGCTACTGTGGACTCGCCTCCCCATTAACGGGAGGAGAGGGATGGTGGTGGTGCCCTACTCTCCCTAGCAGATACATATCAGTGGAGATATGCAGACAAGGCTAAAAAGTCAGATGCCTTCTATGACCTCATGTCCCAGGTACTGGCTAAAGTGGCCCTTCAGGAATGATTCATCCTCTTGGGTGACTTTAAATTCCCGAGTGGGTCATGATGTCGAATGTGGGCACACATCCTGAACACCAGGACCTACCATGGAGTGGATCTTCCTATTGACCGTCGGCATGTCATCTGTAAGATGCGCCTACCATACTTTTATTCTGGTAGCAACCATGCATCACACAATGCCATCTACTGTAGCTGATGAAGGTTGCAAGCAGGAATTTCGACAATGCTAGCAACTGGGGCTGGCAACGTCCCACCCTCCTCTAGCCATATAATAATTACTATTTAGTTAAAACCTTTCACACGTTAAACGGGGAGATTTTTAGCAAAACCAAGTGTTCAAATGTTGTATTCGTGAGTGTTAAAGCATGCAGTGCAATAGTGAGCGTTGGCTGTCCTAAATATTTTATTTTCAAGGGAAACCTGGCTGTTGAGATAACATAGGAACAGGTATTATGTTCCTAATCTTTTGTTGCTGTTCAATTCAGTATTTCATTGGCACACAATTGACACATTCTAGAAACATTTAATCACAGGTAAAACTAAATATAATTTCCCGTTTGGTAATTATGTAATTCACTCCGGAAATTGTTGGGTGGTAAACAACAACAACAAAAGTAACACAAATAATAATAATCCGTCTTTATAATTTCCGACTGAAGTTTCTGCTTGGGTAAGAGGAATACAACTTCCACTGCAGCTCAACTGGCTCACAGCAGCATCAACAGCGAGCTGTCCACGCAGTCTGCAACTATAGCCACCTTCGGGGATTCTTGGCACAGCTGTGTGAGCGATCCAATTAAACAGAAGCAGTTGTAAATTAAAATAGGTATCTTAATATGGAACGGTTCATTAAAACAACATTTTACCCCTGGCAAGCCATTCGAGGAAGTGGCCACGTGATTCGCAGCGGCATATATATGTATTGTATATAAATATGCTGCCAATACACGCGGTGGACATTCCTGTGTGAGAAACCCAGCTCAGAGGTAAGACTCCCGGTTCGATGCACGTTGAACTTTTTTCGCACCGTCCATATTCTTAACACTACAGTTACAAGGCTTGATAATTATAAACCAAAATAATCATCAAGCGTCACTCCTGTCACGTGAATATAAACGGTATTCATACGCAATCGAATCGGCCACACATTTTTTGGGGGGGGAGTGCATCTTCAGAAGCATTTGTCTCACGTGAGTGAAACACCCTCGACAGGTTTCAACATCCGCTGACTCATCAGCAGTCAGACACACTCCGTGAAGGGACAATATATGAGGAAGGAAGGAAGGTGTTATTTTTTTCGAGCGGAGAGTTAGACAAGGCCAAATTGTGCTTGAGCGATGTCTTATTTTCAAACTTACATTAAAAGGATGTAGGCATGCCATTGGGCATGGTGGGAACATTGCTAACTTGTTTCCGATTACGACGTTTATTTCATGACATGGCAAAAACGTGTCGGTTACAAAGGAAAATATCCTCGCAGTTATAAACTACGAGAGTGAGAATTAAACTATTGAATGGAAAATTGTAGCAGTTGGTATCGACAAGACAACACACATCCAGCAAATGCTGCTTTTAATAAGCAGCTGTTGGAGCAGCGGGGATGCTCCGAATAATCGTCAACTGTTGTAGAGGCTTTATTACATTGTGTTTGAAGTGCACTGGTGATGAGAATCAATTATTCAAATGCAGTAATATAATTACGAAGTGTAATTGCGAGTGACTTGATTGTTACAATTTGGCAATCAAACTCAGTTCTATAGAGTGGCTACCGTAAAACTATCGATGATGCCGTGGTGAGCCAACGTGGCAGGTGAAACAATGTGGGCGCTATGGTGGCTAGGAGATGTTAACTACCTCGACTGGTATACAGGAGGTCGTGGCTTTCATCCCGACCCTGACGCCTGTATATTTGGAGTTCGCCTGTTTTCCCCGTGGTCGCCTGGATTATTCTCCAGCTTCTCCGGGTTTTTTCTCTCCACATTTAAAATCAACATGCGTTTAGGTATTTGGCTGCTATAAATTTCCACGTGACAACCCACTTCGTTGACCTATCATTTGTGACTAGGTCACTTCTGAAAACAATCTACATAGCTCAGTGGGCCTTACCTGATACATTTAAAACATAGTTTGGTTTGTGTTTAATGGAGCAAGTTTCTATGACCCCAGCACCTGTGTATCAATTGGTACTGCACGGGTTAGTTGGTCAGCAGGTCGCGATGGAGTGAAGTGTGGGTGATCCCCAACCTCTTCCAAGACATGTGGCCAGTGTGGAAGAGCAGGCCAAATACCCTGTGGAGGGGGCTCTCGACAGGTCCCTGTCAGTGGAGGCTCGAGCAAGACATTGCAGGGCTGCACATTTACCACCTTGATACGCAAAGTATCACGGCGTAAGCTATTTCTGACCACGTTACCGATAATGAGATGTGTAATTATAACTAATCGCCTGGGTATTGTGGGTTGCACAGCGGCCAGCCTGTTCGCTTGAGCTGGCTCTCACAAAGTCACCGAATTTCAGCAGCACTGTGATACTCGCTGCATTACCCGCAGTGCCATCTGGTGTACTGTTGATGCTGGGTGATCTGGGTGGTAAGAGCAACGCCAATGTGTGTGCAGGTATCATTTGAAAAACATAAAGGTCACTCGGTGGAATATTAAGTTCCCAGTAATGTCTCTATTACATTCTTGCACGTTTGATTGTTGTTTTCTTCTCTCTTTTACTTCAGGACTTTAAGAGAGTTAAACCATTCAATCTCAACATTCATTGCACCGTGCAGGGAAGAAGGAAACAAACTCGCACACAAATGGAAAACAGCAGCTCTTTTTTCTATCTTTCAACATTTGAAGCCTCCCATGAAGTGATTCTGCTCATATTCAGCATGTGCCTGCCCCTTTACCTCATCACAGTTCTCGTCAACCTGCTGGTACTCGTGGTGGTAGCGACTTGCGCGGAGCTGCACAAGCCCATGTACATCTTCCTGTGCAACCTCGCCATCGGCGACATCATCGGCAGCACGAGCGTCGTGCCCAAGCAGCTGCACATCTTCCTGACGCGCGACAAGCACATCTTGCGCGTCTTCTGTTTCGCGCAGATGTTCTGGGTCAATTGTTTCGTCTCCAATGAATTCTTCACGCTGGCCGCCATGTCCTTCGACCGCTACGTGGCCATCTGCTCCCCGCTGCACTACCACGCCATCGTCACAACGAAGAGGGCTCTGCTCGGCTCGCTGCTCATATGGATGGTCAGCGTCGCCATAGAAATTGTCATCAACGTTCTCCTGAAACGTCTGGAGTTCAGCGAGGCCGATGAGCACGTGCAGGGGATGTTCTGCGATCACGCGGGGATACTCCGACTGGCGACTTCAAACACTGGCGTGAACGAGGCGTACGGCACGTGGGTCATTGCTTCGACTGTCGCGCTCCCACTCTGCGCCATAGCCTGCAGCTACTACAAAATCATTCAGCAGTGCATCCGAATGAAGTCCAGTGATTTCAACAGGAAGACATTTTACACTTTGGTCACGCACTTCTCGGCTCTCGCCATCTGCTTCTCGGCTGTGTTCATATGCACGTTGGTGCCACGCATCGTGAAGGACTTCCAAAGCGACTTCGTGAGGAACCTGCGCTGCGCATTTCAGATTTCCATTTTTCTCGTGCCAATCGCAAATGTGCTGATTTACGTTTTCCGGACCAAGGAGTTGAGGAACGCAACAACCAGATACTTTCACAAATTTGTTCCCAACGTCAATGCGCGTTTCGGATCTCACAAGGTCTGGACCGATGGGGAGTTAAAAAAATCAACTGCTGTTGCCCTTCCCCGCACCTATTAGCACAGTTGGCTGCATACGGTACGAAAGAAGTTCAACGGTACATGTATACAACTGCAACTGACATCGACCAGAGGAGAGGTGCAGCCCTGCAATTGCTCGCTCACAGCACTGCTGGTGGAAGGCATCCTCTAGAGGTGCTCTACATATCCGCGTTGAGAGGGCATCATTGGCCTACTCTTCCACGCAGGTCAGATGTCTTGGAAGAAGGAGTACCCACACTTTGCCCCACCGCACGCTTGCTGCTGATTGACTGCTGTAACTGTGGTCTATTAATTTAGACTGTGGCCCATCTCTCTCCAGCACATAGGAACACTATCAAATTATGGAACGTGTGATTACTTTACTAAGTTACTTATACAACGTTGTTATTGCAAACACATGCTTAATAATCATACCATATGGCTGTTGTATATGTTGGTTATGAAAATTTGTTATGTTGTATGCGTGCGTGGGTGAATTATTATGTTGTATGTGTGGGTTATGAATATTCAGTGGAAATAATAATAATTAATGAAATTTGGCCAAATGTGTAATTATCCGGAAATATGTTAATTATGTAATTACGCACATTTTAATTATGCCAATTCGAGAGGTAATCGTATTAATTATGCGAGTGGGTGTAATTATGATAACGCAAGTCGTTATGATAACCAGACCCCGGTTCACCCCGTTATCGCTTTAACATTTACTGAGTATGTATTAGTGTGTTTATTAAGGTCACCAAGTTCAAATCTCAACGCAGAAGCAGATCTTATGCATAGATTTCAGGAAAGAATCACACAACCACTTCTGTATTGATCAATTTATTACTAATTCAACCTTAACTATGATATAGTATGCGAACTCTCAATCCGGGAACGTCAATACGGCATCAATACAGTATCATCAACGATTGTCTGATTTCACTTTGACAACTGCACATGGATCCCGCATAACGCGATGGTTGTTAGTGAGAGAGAGAGTCGTTAAAACATGCAAATACTATGCTAAGAAAACCTTAACGTTAATGAATGATTATACTCAATATTGTTCACGCAGTACCGCACTCCTTATTGATCATACGCAACCCTTATCACGTTGTTAACACCTTGGGTCACGGGACAGTTGAATATTCTGTAGAGGATGCGAGTACGTGCGGCGATTATGACTGAAGGATACTTGAAAGATTATACGGCGATAAAAAAAAAACACAATCAAAACAGTTACTATTCTTAAAGGCACCAATCTCAACAGATACATCGGCAGGTTATCTGACAGCAGAACGGCTCGGAGTAAGGGCCTGCGACGGTGCTCCTTTTCCGAAGATCGTTATCTTATACCAAGTTTACTAATTGGGGACCAGATCACCTGATAAGGATCCGGTGGCCACCACTCCCCACGTGAGCGTGGCTCGGCGGAAGGAGGTGCCAAGAATCAGTTCGTATTGATGGATCTGTTGGGAATTTATGCGATTAAGAGTACAGCCCACTAAATATTAAAGATAAAAATTAAGAATACTCTTATACGACGGATGGCCACCACTCGGTCTCGTTGTGATGCCTTCCCAGCCACGGATGACTTATGGGTTCGAGTGTGTTTGAGTGGTAAGAGTTGTCTTGAATAGTCAGTGTTCGGAGTCGATTCTTTATGTCAAACAGACGCCTGGTGGTCGTGTGGTGAGGGGGCGGTGCGCGTCATACGTATCAGGCGCTCTCCTGTCACCGTGGTGAATTGGCTCGGATGGCTGTTGATACGCTGTCGCAGTTCGGAACCCGGTCGGTAGGTGGCGCCCACAACTCGCTCGTAGCGTGCAGCGTTGGATCGTCGCCAAGTCGCGACGCTCACCACCGGCGGCAGCGGAGATCTCCGGCGGCAGCAGAGATTGACGAGCTGAAGATGAGTCGAGCCGACCCGCTGGTCGCAGCTCGCTCCTGAGTCGACCCTCCCGGTCGAGCTCGCTCCTGGGTCGACCCGCTGGTCGCCCTCGCTCCTGAGTCGACTCTCTGGTCGCACTCCTGAGTGGACCCGCTCTGGTCGCACTCGTTCCTGAGTCGACCCTCCCGGTCGAGCTTCTGAGTGGACCCTCCCGTCGCACTCCTCCTGAGTCGACCCTCCCGGTCGAGCTTCTGAGTGGACCCTCCCGTCGCACTCGTTCTGAGTCGACCCTCCCGGTCGAGCTTCTGAGTGGACCCTCCCGTCGCACTGGTTTCCAATGTTCAGGATCCGTTCCTTTATGCTGAAAAATCCCCCTGGATCCCGCCCACAAGGCGGGGCTTCCGATTTTTGCTGTGTCAGGATCTGTCCGTAGGCAGGTGTGTCCATGTGTGTGTCCGTATGTCCTTGTGTGCATCACTGACGGTATATTCCGTTGTCAACTCCCTCCATAAAACCCACGAGCAAACAACCAGATGTTACAAATTGTCTCGAAGTCGTCTCTCTGTCTGGGTGCAATTTATCTCTTGTCTGGCCTTCTTCATGAACCCAAAACACAGACGTTACAAATCGTCTCATAGGCGTCTTTGTTCGTGTTGCACAACCTGGGGGGAGGGGCAACACTCTCTCCGACCCGGCGCACAAAGAAATGGTTAAAAGTTTTAAGTTAACATTTGTCCCTTACTATTTCACAGTTATGATTCTGTATGTAACCTAAGGTCTGTCGTTTCCCATCGTGGTTCCCGACCCAAGTGTAGGTGTTTCCCCGAGCGTACACACACTCCTATCCCGCGCTGCGGGGATACAAAGACGGCCGGGATCTCCCTTTCTCTCCGACCCTGGGTTTAACATTGTTTTTTTTTATTATGTATTTATATTCGACCTGGTGGTGATTCATCCCGTTATCCTGGCTTTTCCATAAGTTTTACTTTTGTCTTTTCATGCATATACTTATTACTATTAATTTATTCCCGATATCTTAGGTTAAGGGGTAAGTTTCTTGATCCTAGGAATTCGTATTCCTTGGTGCCTGGATGGTTATATAAGCGGAATATAGTTTACGGTGAATAGCGTTAACATTGATGTTATGTGCGATATTATGTATTGTGATGTCTTTAACTTAACTTGTTTGTCAGGGCTTTACTGACACGAAGTTGCATTCCATAGCCCGCAGTCTTTGCCCCACCCTATCTCTGCTCGCCGTTGTTGTTGCAGTCCAGCTGCCGTTAATTCAAGGCCTCATTAATTTCCGTCCCTCCTGAGTAGGTGAGGGCGGTTGAACCTTGGAGTCAGTTCTGGTTTTTGTCTGCCTGCTTCTTCTTGTGTCCCCTGACCCCGGGAGTTATTATTCTACTTTATGGCCTGTCGAAGCCCCACTCGCTGTTGCTGGGCTGGTGTTGTTCCCGGCTTTTTGCTTACGTTTGCAGTTCGCCGTGCTCTTGATTTCCTTCCCTCTTCAACCTTATATTGACTATTCGCTCCTGTCTGGGTGCGATTCAATTTTGACTTAGGAAGGTTCTGATTGTCATATGCTTCGGGTCGAATTGTATAGAAAGTATTGAAGTATGGAAATAACATTTCATATTGACTTAATAATGGTGATGGTTCAGTAGGCGTAACTTGTGGCCTGGTTTAATTGGAGTGGGTGTGAATATCGATAACTTTAGCCTACCCTGTTGTTAAATTCCGACTTTAACGTTACTTTAATAGCAATACAGAATAATTGAGCTTTTTGTCTTAACTAGGCGAATGCGAACTTCTGGTGACCCCGCAGCCTTGTTGTTCAGCTGGGTCTGCCTCCTTGAGAGATATACACCACTCTTATTCTCGTCTCACTGTGGTCATCCAACCTTCTGCTCTGGGAGTGTTATTCTTACTTTCAGGTCAAAGGCCCCCTCACATCCAGACGCGCAGGGTTGTTTACATCAGCTCCCCCCCTGTGCACGTGTTCTAACTAGCTCGGAATTCCTGAACACACAATCAGTGATGATTCCTGGCTTTCTGTGGTTGTGATTTAGACAAAGGCGCCTCTGTTTTCTTCCATTGCCTTTGAGTCGACACTGCCCTATTATTTGCCCATGTGCTGAGGTCATAGAATTCGTTTTGACTTCAGTAATATTAACATTCAGTATTGGATTAGCAAATGGGCAATGGTTCATTGATGTAGCTCGCAGCCTGGTCTCCAGTTTGAGCGAGCGCGAGGATCGATAATTTAGCCTACTCTGTTGTTGAATTTCGAATTTTGACGTTACTTTAAAACCATGCAGGATGATTGGGCTTTTGCCTTAACTATGTCTGGCTGACACTCCCACTGTCTCTGCCGCCTGCACGGGTGACATGTGCCCGTTCATCAGGCCTTATCTTCCCTTGAAGCAACGTTGTAAATTCTGCCATCCTAGCCCTCCTCCGGTTCATTACTTAACAACACCTGGTGTTTTGCAGTTTGCTGCGCTTGGTGTGTTTCACTCATTAAAAAAACAAGTAAAAAGATAATATATAAAAATCATCAAATATTATTAATCTCAATTATGGAAGAAGGGTTAGTATACAACATTCCGCCCTTTTAAAAATGACCAGTGGTCAAATGGCCACGGGTTATTTTTAAAAAAATGTATACCCTTCTTCCATCATGAACCATCGATTGTCCTCAAGTTTTGCTGCTATTCCTTACAACGCGCGCGTACGTGTCACAACTTAACATGGTTATTTTGAATTGAGCAAAGAAAATTAAACAAGCGTTAAACATCGATATTGCGTTACATCGGTTCTGATACATCATGACTCCGACGAATATTCATTTTTGTTTTTGTTAAATCCTGGGAAACGCTAGGTAGCGGTTTCGAACGCATTTATGCGTTACTTTCCTCATGTTGCCTCGTTCACCACTTATCACTTCGATAATTCGATCACGGTTTTCGGGGTTCGTTTTTGTAGTTTCTTCTCTCACTCTCTGTGTCGTGGGAGTGTGTGGTGAAAAATTGTGCTGCACATAACCAGAATTCGCGCACCCGACCCACTTTGACCCTTGGTTCGAGGCATTCGCTCTCTCTGCGATTACATGCACATTTGCCGAGTCCGTGTGTCGATTTAATTCTGTCCCTCGTAATGTTGCCCTCTTTGTTTTTACTAGTGTGTTGGATTTCAACACCATTCCCGATACGTCATGGACATTCGTCTCCATTTTAGCACTCCGATCCACATAATTTTTGGTTTCCCTTGGATATTTTCCATTCAAAGGCTCATGCCTGCGCTCCTCAGGGCGTGTCCCTGCTGTCTGTTTTTGTACTGTCCGATCACGCTTCAATGCAACCCTGTCCTTGTATTCGATCCGCGCGTCATTTACGGGAGCACTGTCCACGTTTTTGCCCGCCCTGTCACTTGCAGCCTGCCTGTATTTCACATTGAGCGCCGGGTTTAACACCTCGGCGGGTGTGGCGCGTATGGGCTGCCCGCTCTCAATCACTGTGGATGGTTCATCACGTATTT